GGCCGGCGGGGGAGATGGACGGGGAGGTCGGGGAGCCCTCGGGGAGGCGGCAGGGACGGGCGGCAGGGACGAGGAGTCCAGGGAGGCGAGGCATGGAGGCTTGTCTGACGGTTGGGGTCGGCGGGGAGGAGGGCGGCAGAGGTCATGAGAAGGGAGGGGGTAGGAGAGGGAGACGTCCAGGGAGGAGGAGGGAATGAAGAGGGGATGGTCGTGGATGTGGGGAGGGAAGCGTGGGAGGGAGGGGAGGGGCTGTGGGGTAAAGTAGGGAGGGAAGGTCTCAGTACGCAACGTTTGGGGAGGGGTATCCCCGACGAGGAGCTGCGTTTTGACAGGCAACGCCTGCGACTGGTAAGCTCTGAAGCGAGGTGGTCTCGGATACCAGTGGACCATGAGCCCGACGAGGGGTTGCATTTCTGACAGTCAGAGCCATACTCCCCACGGAGAGTTGCGTTCGAACCATCTGGACAGGTGCGATATGCTCGGAGTTACTGGTCGAGCCGGTACAAGTGTTTTAGAGCAGATATGCTCTCCGAAGCTGACACGAGGCGCAAAGTCCCATCTTGTATCGTGGTCACGGATACCGGTGCGGTCAATGTGCAAGGATCTCAACACGCAATGTTTGGGTGGAAACCATCATAACTGTATCCTTGTATCCTCCCAGAGGTCTTGGCGGATACATCTCGTTCTCGTCCTTATCCTCATCCTCGTCCTCCCGCTCCTCCGCGTCTCTGTATGCTCATGCCTCCCCCCTCCTCCTTGTCTATCTCCCTCGTCGACCTCTCCTTCTCCTCCTCTCGCCCTGCCCCCGTCTTCAAGCTCTCCCCCTCCCAGCAAGCCTACTGCGACGCACGCTGGCCCCTGCATCGCTCCTCTTCGTGCATGTGCTCTTCTTCCCCTTTCCAGGGCCCCGCCGCCAAGCCCGGCAAGGCTCTGCGCGTCCAGTCAGACGGGACAGAGCTCATGCGCGAAGTGACGGAGGCGAGGAGGAGGATCGCGGCTAGGCGGGGGAAGGCGGTGTGGGCGGGGGAGAAGAGCCACAGGAGGTCGTGGGAGGACGTGACGGCGGCGACGGAAGGGCTGCTGGAGGAGGGAGGAGGGAGGGAGTAAAGCCGGCCAAGACGCCCAGGAGGAGAGGACGAGGAGAGGAGGCGATGTAGAGTAGAGGAGGGAGTACGTGCAAGGTGTAGGCGAGGAATAAATTGCTGATATGTCCGAGACATGCGTCGGAGGAGAGCGGGAGGAGAGCGGGAGGAGGAGAAGAAGAAGGAGGGAGAGAGAGGGCGGAAGGGAGGAGACAAGGTCATGCAGCGCGATGCGGAGGAGGGGGAGGGAGGGAAGGCGACGGCGTCGGGGTGAGGAGGGTGTGAGGTAGGATGAGATGGCAGAGGAGGCGCTGGATGAGCGGAGGCCCGTCATCGCCCCTCCGGGCTCAGGATCGTAAGCGGAGGGGAGAGCGAGGAGGAGAAGCAAGGCCCGGAGACTGTGAGCATAGGGAGGAGATGGTTGAGTTGGTACTTCATTGACGCTATATACACTACATGGAGCTCTCCTGCTGCTGCTCCTGCTGCTACTTCAGAGTCGGATGCAAGTATTCGGTATACTTCAGAGTACATCATAGAGTACAGGTAGAGTAATGCAGTAGAGTGAGAGGTATACGGTATTCTTCAGTGTGCTCAGCGGAAGGATGCAGCAGAGTGATTATTCCGATCATGTGACCGCCGCGCTACTGAGCGACTATAGTAGCGGACAGTGAGTGTTACGAACTTAGTTGACAAGGTTCTTCGGTCGTACTGGGCCTAGTTCGTCCGAAGTTTCATAGAGGTTTGAGATCGAGAAAGAGAAAATGATAATGGAAGCTGATATCCTGACTAAGGTATCATCAAAGTATGATGAAGATGGAGATGGAGATGGAGATGAAGATGGAGATGGAGATGGTGGAGAGGGATATGATGATTGGTGGACGTGGAGATGCGAGGAAGAGGAGGAGGAGACGATACACACAAAGTTTTATCTATGAAATTTGCCATGGAAGGAGAGATGAATATCAACATCAGGATTCAATCAGGAGGCGATGAGAAGAAAGCCATCGAGCAAGATATGAATTGGTAGCTTACACCGCAAACCATAACAGCAGGGGATGTACGCGAGCGGTTCAAAGCTGAAATGATACGTCGTCCCCCCTTATTTTCTTCCCCTCTACCGGCTGTCAAGCTCCGTCTGCCTTTCATTTCGCCCTTTTCCTAGAGCTCTCCTCCTCCTCTCCGCCTTTTCCTCCCCTCAGCAGCCGCTCCGTCCCTGTCGTCACGTCCTCCCATGACCCCCCGAAGATCTCCCATCCAGTCCAGCTCAGGTCGGCACGAGGAAGAGAAGGAGAGGTCGACGAGGGAGATAGAGAAGGAGGGCGGGGAGGGAGAACACGAGGAGAGTGGAGGCGGCATGGATGAAACTGATCGCGCGGTGGTAGTGGTTGTAGTGGTAGTAGTGGTTGTAGAGGACGAGGAGCAGGAGGGGACAGAGAGGAGGAGCAGGAGGAGCAGGAGGAGCAGGAGGAGCAGGAGAAGGAAGGAGAAGCAGGTGGTGGAGAAGGTAGAGGAGCAGGAGGAGGAGGGGACAGAGAAGAGGAGGGGGAGGCTGGAGGAGCAGGAGGAGGAGGAGAAGCAGGAGGAGGCTGGAGGAGGAGGAAGGAAAAGCAGGCGGCGGCGGCGGTGGTGGTGGTGGTGGAGGACGAGGCTGGAAGAGGAGAAGCAGGAAGGAGAAGCAGGCGGTGGTGGGGGGGGGCAGAGGAGGAGGACTATGGTTGGCCCTCCCTTGAATTCCAGGGACGTGCTGTCGTAAAGGACCACGAAGAGTCTTACAGAAAAGTTGATTATAATCGAGTTGACTTAATTTAGCCGTACCTGAAGTTGTACTGGCCCCGTACCCTCTGGTACTCTTGCGTACTTCTCAGTAGTACCGTACCTCGTCCGACCTCTTCGGAGACCGCTGAGAGGCTTTAAATGTACTCCGATCTTTACTACAGGCACCTCCCCTCGTCAGTCGCAGGACAGGTCGCAGCCTGAGCGCCCGGAGGAGCGCCTGAGGGACTCAGTCGGTGCTAGCTTGCAGTTCGGTCCCCGCTGCGACTCCGGGAGCCTGACGGTACTCGCCCCGGAGCCTTACGGGCCGGCCCGGGGCCGTTACGGACGAAAGACGCCGGCCCGGATGTGAGTGACGCATTGTAAGTCTTCACTGACAGCCCGCCTCAGTACAACCCAATGAATGGCCTCTGAGAAAACTTTCGGACCAGACTGCTCGAGATTCAAGAGCATCAAAATCCACATGATGGACTTGTTGAAAGTTCACAGACCTTAATGGGGTCCCTAGGAAGGTGCAGCTCTTCATTTCATCATCAGCGGTTGCATCCTCGATGAGCGAGGGATGTGGTACTCCTATCCTCAGAACAGTGCCACACCACGGGTCCTAGATATCTGGCAGTGCCTTGTTCTGTTGTCAGAGTAGAGCTCACAGCCAAGTAGCCATCAGTATACACTACACTGCCTTTCTGTTGCAGCTAAGTCAGGCTTGCATCTGGAGAGAGCCGGTTTCAATCAGCTGTAACTGCACTGTGACTATGCTCTGCTAGACTCTGACGGTAGGGGCAGCCCTGTAAGAAAATCGTTAGCTTTGAGTCAACAAAGTCGCTGAGAAGACTCTCCATGAGATGGTGCTCGTGAAGCAAGGAGCACTACCCCGAGTCCTTCCCTTAGCCTATGTAACGATCAGCGTCTTCAGCTAGAAGGGTCTGTTCTCTCCTCATATTGTATTACACCACGCTGATCTAGCATAGCTGGTAAACTCGACATCACTACACTTCACCTTTGTGTGCGATCCAGCGGAGGTACCTTGTGCGTTCGCTGTAGATGAGAAAGAATGTTGAACTCCAGAAAGAAGAATACTCCGACAAGATTTCAATTGTCCCTTGAGCACCTGTAATTTGATGCTGAATTCCATCGCAGATTTGGAGTTCCAACCCATCGTGATGAAGCTACCCCTCTTCTATCGGGAGCATCAAGGGGTGGAGACTGGCGGCTGCAACGACGTCTGCACGCTCGCACGCACAAGCAAAAATGGCGGCACAAGCTGAAAGACGATGCTGGAGGAGGATCCACGCGACGACTGATGTCAGCAGCAGTGCTGTAGGCAGAGGGTCCAACAGGTCACCGGCAGTCGAGATTTTGTTCTAACAGATTACCAAAGTAAACAGATGTGAGGTTAAACGACTTGATGCTGACTTGTGGTAAATTCCATGGGAAGCAGAGGAAGAATGTGTGATATAATAGGATTCTTGTTGTTTCCTTGGTCCTTTGGAAGTCAACAAGCCTCACGCAGTCGCTATCTTCTGTGTGCTTCTTTCAAGACATCAGGTAGCAACGCAACACACAATCACACCCCGAAGCTTTACAGGTTGCAGACGTCTACTGATGGAAACTTGGGTTCCGATGCGTACCATGGTAGCAGCTGCTGTCGCGAGGCTCGGCTGTGGTGAGCAAGCTCCACCTTGGAAGAAGCTATTTTGAAAAGAGCTCCGTTGAGTTGCGTGATTTATAGAAAGAGCCTAGTCTGAGCGATGATGTATACCTCCTTTCTCGCACTCTCCTGCTCCTCTCCCCTCCTCTTCCTCCTCCCCGGGCCATGCAGCCAAGCCTGGCAACGCTTTGCGCGTCCAGTCCGACGGCACGCAGCTCATGCGCGCTGTCATGGAGGCGAGGAAGCTCGCGGCAGGACGCGGTGGAGCGACAAGGCGGCCAGCGACGGGATCCGACCTGAGCTGGACAGGATGGGAGAGCTTTGGGGGGTCATGGGAGGACGTGACGGCAGGGACGGAGGGGCTGCTGAGGGGGAGGGAAGGTGGGAGAGGGGCGGGAGGGAGAGAGCGTTGCAATAGGCTTTCTGGGAGGGGGAGAGCTTGAACGAGGGGCAGGGCCGGGCCGAAGAGGAGGGAGGAGGGGAAGAGGAGAAGGAGAGGTTGATATGGGAGACAGAGAAGGAGTGAGGGGGAGGGAGGGGAGCAGCCGGAGCTTGCATGGCCCCTCCTTGGATCGGTTCCTTGGGGTACAAGTGTATGTACAGGTAATCCGGTCTTATCCGTCACTGTACCCGATAGTACCCCTGCTTCTCCCAGAAATTCCTTGGACTTTGCCGGGTGGGGTATTGCTCTTCCGATGTTCGGGCCGATCAAACTGACACCCCTCTCAAGAAAGAGAAAAGGACCGGTACCTTTCGAACCATCATGGCAAGTTTACAGCCCCTAAGACTCACAAAGAGTCTCAACTCAGATTCCGCCGGCCCGGCCCAACTTGACCGAGTACAACTTATTAGTCATCGTGCTTTGACTGATAGTTATGTGGTACACAGCTTTACGACACGATGATCGGATCTTGTTTCCAATGTACACATCGTTTCGTTCAACGGTTTACAACACTAAAGCGTCAAGTTTCGTTGCGGCTCGCGGCCCCCCTGGCGGCGGAGCACGCGGCCAGGCTGCCGCGCGGTACGGTCGCGACCGCCCGGCCCGGCGGGGCCCCGGGCGGAGCGGCTCCGAGCCCGGGCCCGGGCCGCGATCATCGGCGTCGGACGGCGGCCCGGCCGCCGGGCCACCGTGGCCACGGTGGCCGCGCTGCGGGAGCCGCCGCCCGGGGAACTCCCGGAGTCCGAGCCTGAGCCCGGGCTACGGGCCCGAACTCGGATGATGACTTGCTGTCGGATGCCACCGTGTCTGCGAGTCATCCGATGCCCGGCGCCTGGAGACGGATCATGATTCGATTTACTCGCTCTTTACGCAAAGGGTTAAGATGTAGATTATTAGTCGTGCGGATAAGGCAAGGGAGAGCAGACCCCGGCTTCAAGGATCCTGATATCATAGTTGGGGGTCACAGCCGCCAATGGTGCCATGCTCGGATCAAGGAACCGTTGAACCGTCAAGCTCATGGGAAGAAGTTGTATGGCAGGCCTGATAGGAGTACCACGTCCTTCGCTCAGCATCGAGGATGCAACCAATGAGGACGATCTGAGGAGCTGCACTAGGGACCGCACCCTCATTGCTGCCAGCAGGCTATCACGGTCACGTGTAAGCATCATCAGCTTCGCAAGAGGGGTCCTGCTTCCGCCTTGTGTTTGCAACATCACGAGTTTCTGAAGTAGCACATCGGATGTCAGGAAGTCACACACAAACACGGGGATGTCAGCATCCTGCGCCTGAGCTTTGGTTCAGTCTCTTTACTAGGACAGTGGCCGGTGGAACGCGTCGGGCGACCAGGGTAATTATCCTCCGATTTAAGACGGAAAGGTCTAGGCTAACCCGCTAGACTAGTCCTTTGCGAGGCTTTGTGTTTCATTTGCGAGTCCTGTTGAGTCAAGCTGAGGTGCCATGGGAAATCGTAGGAGAATGCTGACTATGTAGGCCTCTACAACTCCATCCTTACGACATTGTTATGTAGAAGACTTGTGGTCGTCACCTGCTCTGCTCCGGCAGGATGCCAGTGTCAGAGAGGGTGTGTTCAGAGTGAAGTTAGTCAAGTGAACATCAAGTCGTTTATTCCCTCTCCAGTGAGCATCCTACCTCACCTCCTATCACATCTCACGCTGATATCGTAGTCTAGTGACTGAGGGCCCGCAGAGTCTCTTGAAACAGAAGCAGCGACAGCAGTACCGTCGAGGAGCATGGGGCGACCCTGGAAGAGGGGGGTAGAGGATTGTGTTTCTTGTTACAGAGATCGCACCCGGCACTTGGCATGCACCTTTGGACCCGGGCACGATCACTTCTGACTTGACAGGCTCGCTATGGGTGGACAATGCGGAGCTGTGCACACGGATAAACAAGATCTCCCCCTTATGCTTCTCCTCCCCTCAGCAGCCCCTCCATCCCTGCCGTCACGTCCTCCCATGACCCCCCGAAGCTCTCCAGCTCTGTCCAGCGCTTCTCGGATGCCATCGCTGGTCGTCTTGTCGCTCCGCCGCGTCCTGCCGCGAGCTTCCTCGCCTCCATCACAGCACGCATGAGCTGCGTGCCGTCGGACTGGACGCGAACACCCTTGCCGGGCTTGGCGGCGGGGCCTGAGGACGTCCAGGAGGGAGAGGAGGGCGAGAGAGTGTCGCAGTACGCTTGCTGGGAGGGGGAGAGCTTGAAGGAAGGTGGGGGGCGGGACGAAGAATCGTTGACGAGGGAGATAGTGAAGGAAGGAGGAGGGGAGGAGGATGGGGAAGCAAGAGCCATGGAAAGGGACGAGGCTGTAGCTGGCTACTTCAGGGAGGACAGAAGGAAGGAGTAGGAGGAAGGAAGCAGTAGGAGGAGGAGGAACAAGGCGTGAAGGCGATGATCGATGTGTTGGGGAAGGGGGCAGATCACCCTACTACCCCCCCATTTTTTTAACCGAAAAGTACCCCATCACCGAAGTTTGCATTCAGTTTTACTACCCACCAGTGTCTGCCTTACAGGTCATAGGACCCCACCCCCCCGTTTGATAGGGAAATCACACCCCTACCCTGAGCGTGACTCCCACGGACCTTACAGATGAATTGTACAACATTGCAGCCTTGAGATACGAAAACGCTCATGTTGGCTACCTGACGGGACGAGTCGTCGTGATTTCGAGGTTTTGACCATTGGCCGTTGTAGCTTCGCTAGCTAGAGTGTATCTCACTGTTGGTCCCTGACTGACCGCCCGTCATCTCGGTGGTCAAATCACTATCGACTTCAAACTGAGCACTGATGATCATCAATAAAGTTGACAACTGATTAGTCGTGAATCCAGCCAATCTCGAAGTTCATGCGGGAGCTACAGTAGTTTCCAAGGCGTTGAACTTAGGAATGTGATGATCCCAAGAGTGTTTGCGATGATGTACCAAACAAGGCATGATGCTATGTATCGTTGAAGTGAATATCAAGTCGTTTATTCCCTCTCGAATGAGAATCCTACCTCACCTCCTATCACATCTCACGCCGATAGCACCGCACTTGTGTAGGGTTGCAGGGAGGGGGAGGAGAATGAGAGGGCGGGGAGAAGGGAGGTAGAAGACAGGCTACTATCACCCTAGCGATCTATTCATACCGATATCATGCATCCATCGGCCATTCAGGTCTCATTCCTATACGCTAGCTAGCGTCTTTGTCTTGTGCTCACATATCATGGCATGCTTAAGTAGAGCTTGAGCTCTCCCTCGCAGGTCTCCCTCTTTATGCTTCTCCTCCCCTCAGCAGCCCCTCCATCCCTGCCGTCACGTCCTCCCATGACCCTCCGAAGCTCTCCAGCTCTGTCCAGCGCTTCTCGGATGCCATCGCTGGTCGCTTGGTCGCTCCACCGCGTCCTGCCGCGAGCTTCCTCGCCTCCATGACAGCGCGCATGAGCTGCGTGCCGTCGGACTGGACGCGAACAGCCTTGCCGGGCTTGGCGGCGGGGCCTGAGGACGTCCAGGAGGGAGAGGAGGAGCAGGAGGAGGGCTGGGGCGGGAGAGCGTCGCAGTACGCTTGCTGGGAGGGGGAGAGCTTGAAGGAAGGTGAAGGGCTGCGGGAGGAGGATATCGAGGAGGAGAGGTTGACGAGGGAGACAGAGAAGGAGGATGGAAGGGTAGAGAGGGAGGGAGGAGGCACCATGGAAAGGAACGAGGGTGCGGCTGGCTTAGAGGAGGGCAGAAGGGAGGAGGATGGAGGCTGGGACGAGATGGAGGATCGAATAAAGGGACTTATTAACGGGGCAAAAATTCCTGTGCGCTTTCCGACATATAAAGGCGTCTGAAGGAGGCGGGGATAACCCTTCTACCCCCCCTTTTACCCACAAGTACCCGGTCTGAAAGTTGCTGGCAATTGCCCCTTTTACTACCTATCCCCTTACCTTGCGACCCCTTGCGAACGACCGCAGACCCTCGGCTAGGGACTCGGGCAGTCAAGAGGTCAGCGAGCACTTTTGCACTAATTGATAGTTGCTGCCCCTCGCTGTTCCCTAGTGAGTGACTAAAAATGTAGACTCGGGGAGACCGTTCGAAGGAGTCGGGGAGCAGTAAAATTAGACCAGGGCAGATTGAGCCTTTTAACTTTGAGTACTTAGATACCAGAACTCTACCGTTGAGATCCACTATGGTACACTCCGCCCCTCCAACGGGCAGGGCGGAGTGGGGAACATCCGAATCGGTGTGCCGTAGGCCAAATTCATCCTGAACTTATTTCTGGCACGGTGCACTGCCGTGACAAAGTGGTCCCCAACCAAATCGGGTATCTTTACTCAAAGTTAAATCGGGTGAAATCGGCCAGAAGGCGTCCCGGCCCTGCTTCCGCCTAAGTTTCAGTGACCGGGGGGCGGGCCCGACCCGGTCACGGCCGGTGGCAGACTGTCCGTGCATCACCGTCACTGAGGTAGAGCCGTCCTTTACTCAAAGTTAAGTAATAGATCAGTACGAGGACAATCAAGGGTTAGGCCTTAGAGCCTGTCGGGGAGCGGGACAGTAGGAGAGGAGGAGGAGGAGGAGGAGGAGGTGGAGGAGGAGGAGGAGGAGTGATGATGTAGATGTACAATCAAGATGGCTGTACTCCACCTTCCATGACGCTGCTTTGAAGGATCCGTCAACATGTGATCGCAACATCAACCACCGCCCACTGGAAGTGATGAGCAAGAGGATCGGAGATTGATCCAACGAGGTCTCCCTTGCGGAGAGGCTTCTGAGGTTTGGAAGAGAGGAGAGAAGTTTGAATGTATACGTGGGCGTTCCTCCTCCTCCTCTCGACGTATCATGTGGCACTTGTCAAGCACGTCATTGCGGTATGTTCAGAGAGTGAGATCGTAATCATCCAGCCTCTCAACAGCAGCATCTATGTGAGGTCAGATGTTGACGACGACAAAGCTGGGCCTGTCTGGCGTGATGGAGGTCTGGCGATAAGGTTTTACGTTGCAGAGGGGAATGCTTGCAAAGAAAGGAAGTTTCTTCTCGTCTTTGACGATAGACAGTTTCACTTTGTTGCGTCGACTTGTACAGCGACGTTGGACCTGGTATGTGCCGTTGTTGTTGCTGCTGCTGATGGTACTGATGATGATCATGACCATGGTGGCGATGAGATGATAATGGGATGTTGGAGGTGAATAGGGAGATGATGATGGGAATGCGAGAGAGAAGATGATGATGGAGATGGAGATGGTGAAGATCATGATGACAATGGATCATATAGTGATGGTGATGTTGAAGGAGGAAGAGGAGTAGGAGGAAAAGGAGTAGGGGGAAGAGGAGTAGGGGGAAGAGGAGTAGGAGGGAGAGGAGTAGGAGGAAGAGTAGGGGGGAGAGGAGTAGGGGGAAGAGGAGTAGGAGGGAGAGGAGTAGGAGGGAGAGGAGTAGCAGGAAGAGGAATAGGGGGAGAGGAGTAGCAGGAAGAGGAATAGGGGGAAGAGGAGTAGGAGGGAGAGGAGTAGGAGGGAGTGGAGTAGGAGGAAGGGGAGTAGGAGAAGGATTCTGTGTTGGCGTTCGAGGAGGTATCGGGCGCTGGTGGCGACTTGATGTAGATGGATGACTTTCCTCTTGCAGGTGCTGCCCAGTGTCGTTGACGAATCAACCTTTGGAGAGCATGTGTTGGACATGTCGACCTTGGATGAGGAAACACAAACTGCCTGCTCTCAGTCTCGATCGACGTTTTATCACGTCAGGTGCCTGAGCGGTGAGCCGGAATGCCGGGAGAAGAGATGGAGGAGAAACGACCAGCATCTCGTTTCCAACCATGACTTCCGGAGCCTGGTCATTGCTGACCGCTGGGTCAATATCTCAATCAGTGAGATAGGTGCAAGAGAAGCGTCAAACCTGCGATCATGGGAGCACGACAAGCAGGGGGAGTGGTTCGTGACAGTCTCAGTGAGCGAACTGGCGGACTTGCAGTGCTCGTACATGGTGGAGCTGAGAAGTCAAGATTGTCGGAGGTCAGGAGGCAGCACTCAGGGTCTCCACCAGAGGCGGCGACGAGCTGGGGACCGAGGGGGCTCCCTCCACTTCGAGGGGCGAGCTGGGAAAAGTCAGCTCGCTGTCTGCGTCTCCTCCGCTTCCTGTCGTTTCCCATTCCACAGGTACCAAGGTGACGAGGATCTGAAGTGGAGGAGGAGGCGCTGAAGACTTTGCGCAGACGAGGAGAGGTTGCTCGTTGAGGAGCGATTTTACCAGAGGGGAGGGAGAGAGGGGGGAGGAGCAGGAGCAGGAGCAGGAGCAGGAGAGGGAGGGGGGCAGGGGCAGGGGCAGGGGCAGGGGCAGGGGCAGGAGCAGGAGCAGGAGCAGGGGCAGGAGCAGGTGCAGGAGCAGGGGCAGGGGCAGGGGCAGGGGCAGGGGAAGGGGCAGGAGCAGGAGTAGAAGCAGGGGCAGGGGCAGGAGAAGGAGCAGGAGCAGGGGGAGGAGCAGCCGATGACGAGGTGCTCGACCGCTCGACATCGATGATCGCGAACGTTTCCGGGTCAGCTCCCCATGTTGTTTCTGGATAGTTCCCTGATGGAACTCTCGTCTCACAGTGAACCAGCTCAACGGTCTTCCTTGTCAGGCCCACAACGGCTGATCCCGTTTGACCTGCAGCAGTTTGAAAGTTTCCGGAACCGAACCATCGTGGAGATGGAAAGTTTTGTCCCTCACAAGATCTTCTCGGGCGACATCGTCGAGTTGAGAAGAGAAGAGATTAGGGTCACGGTCTTTGCAGATATTTCTCAGCTCAGCAGGACAGTATCTCTGAAAGTGGAGGTACAGGATTACTCTGAGATGAGATGTTATTATCATCTCCAGTCGAGTGCAAGAATAAGGTTTTCAGGATTTCTGAAGCCGCTCCTTCGATTCCCACAGGTGATGAACCTGGCATGCTGAAAGATATCTCGGTGTTGTTTGTTCATTGACACACGCCTTGCTATTCTCAGATCTCTTACCTCGAGGCTGATCATATCCCATGCATGGAGGATTTGATTCAGATTCATCTCATTGCCGAAGGGTGTATGAACCATCGTCTACCTTACAGCTCCCGTCCTTTCGTAGTCCATGTCTTTCAACTAGTCGATTTCTGCCATGACAACAAACACAATCGTGATAGCATTGAGAACGTTTGTCATGGGGATGAAGATGGAGTTTGGATCCTGACTCCTCACCATGAGGCGTGGAAGCAAGGTTGGAGTTTGCAACCTTTATCAACGGAATCTAGGTTGCTGACAGGCGGATTCCCGATTGGTGAGGACGGAGGAGGAGCAGGAGGAGCCACAGGAGCAGGAGCAGAAGCAGGAGAGGAGCAGGAGAGGACCGGGGGCAGGGTCAGGGGCAGGGGCACTGTCAGGGGCAGGAACAGGATGAGTTGGAGTAGGAGTAGAAGTGGGAGTAGGAGGAGAAGGAGGAGGAGGAGGAGGAGTGATGATGATGATGTTGTTGATGATAGATAGATATCATTATGACGATGATGATGATGATGATGATGACTGTAAATGGTGGTGGAGGAGGTGGTGATGATGATGGCCTCCATCCACTGAGTTGATGACTTGCTGATTTATGTTTTCTTGCAGTTGTAAATTACGACAATATCTCTCTCTCGCAGATTGTTTATGGACAGGTAAGATATGTCCTTGCACCTTCTCATACTCCTTGCACCTGCACCTGCTCTTACTCCTTGCACCTGTACTTGCTCCTAGCTCCTTGCTCCTTGCTTCGGCTCCTGATGCTTCCTGTTTTCTTCTCCCTCCTTCATCCCACTTCTCCACCTCATTCTTCTCGGCTTCGAGAGCTGCAGACGGATGACAACGAGGATCAGGAGGATCAGGAGGAGGAGGAGGAGAAGGAGGAGGAGGAGGAGGAGCAGCAGCAGCAGCGGGAAGCGCACGAGCACAAGGACAGGGGAAGGAGCAGAAGAAGAGGGGGAGGAGCAGGAGTGAGAGTTTTAGAGGACCTCGATGATTGCGTTTATGATGCAAGTAGTGGAGGATGAGATTTTATCAGCGCCGTTGGTGCTAACTGCCGTTGTTTGTAGTGGTTGATATGGGATCTTGATAGACATCACAAGACAACTCTGCCTGTGAGATCGTTTGAAGAGATTTCTTCCATTGCAGTCAACGACACTGTTGAGATTTTCGAGTGGATTTCTGCTACTTGTCGGTACTTGAACCTTGGCGAATCTATAGAGCAATTTGCCATGATGAATCGAGAGCAATGCGGTGGACTGGAAGGCGGTAGTGATGTTGTTCATAGAGCATGTGACGACATCGAAAGGAGCAGCAGCAGCAGCAGCAGCAGCAGCAGCAGCAGCAATAACGACGACGATATGAGAAATCATGATCACAAGGAATACAACAACCAGAACACTGACAACAACAACCTACATCAATATAAGAAACACAACTATCTACATCAGTACAACCATGACAATCATCGCTTGAAGACAACAAGCATCTTCATTGATCGTATCGGCCTTGCCGGCACGTCCAGAATGAGAGGATTGTACTACTCCCTCCTCTCTGTCTGCAACGTGAGCAATGGAGCAAACTTGTGCAGGGGAGCGATCGACTTCGTTGACAGGGATGTCAACATTGAGTATCAGAGCAGGAGGATGGAGGTTTCCTTCATGTCGGAAGCTTGCAATGCAGCTCTGGATTATGTGTTTGTGACAGGTATACCATGTTTCTGTGGAGCATGTTGATTTGTTGAGAACCTGTGAATGTTGTTGCTCGTACTCCTTCAAGCTTGAACGGATGAATGTTCTCAAACTATCAAGTCGAATGAATATGAGTGAATGAAAACGAGTGACATATTTGTTCACACTTGAATGAGCGAGTGAATTTCAGTGACACATTTGTTCAAACCGACAACAAGTTGTTTATTTCATGATGTCCGTGCTGCGGTGACAATGCAAACAGGCAGCGTTTGGGGTGAGTTCAGTCTGGAAGCATCAGGAGAGAGTTTTCGATGTCATGTAAGTTTGAGGCATAATGTTGATGTTGTAGGTACAAACATTGTTTCTTACATGTTGTCTTACAAACAGGCCATGATAACTTACCTCGTGAAGTGGCTGGAAAGGAACGGATACTGCCGAAAGCCTTTCTCATCGCATCGAGAGATTCTCGTGCTTTCCATTGGGTTCTGGGAGAGTTTGGAGAATTCCTTCCATCTGTTGCAAGAGTGCGGCGAGCATATCTTTGAAAACCTTGTCCATTCATGCAAAGGTGCTTGTTTTACACTTTGACAGCAGAAATTTTCACCTTGTAAAGTGATCTACATGACTGCAGATTCTTCCACTTTCATCATCTACAAGAACGAAGAAGCTACTCCTAGTTACAGGTTGCGATCATCCCTTGTTAGTCCTGTAACGAGATGTTCTAATTCCAATCTTACAACAAGAGGGACAGTAGAATCAATGACACAAGTAAGGGTTTTTCTTGCGAATGAAGTCTTCACATCGCTGGCAAGAAAGCACAGGCAAGTTCTTCTGTCGTGTTGTGAAGCATTGAAGTGTTTTGAGCGAATGAGATGAATGCTATTGTGAGTTGTTTGATCATGAGTGATCTATGCTTTGAGTTGTATTCCTTCAGAGTGGGCATTAACATGTCAAAAACTTTCTTATTCTGTTATAATTGCAATCCAATCTCCATCTCTCTTTGCACCTTCAAAACATCTTTCTAATCATCATCATCATCAAAGTGATGACTTCGACTTTCTACAGCATTCCTGTCTTAGACGCTCATTCCATCTCCCTTCCAAGACCCGACGGCACGGAGGACGGCATACATTACTGGTACACTGCGGGGAAGGGAGAAGGGATGAGGAGAGTGAAGGAGAAGAAGTCCAAGAGAGTTTGGTATGAGAGAGACTGCAACAAGTGGGAAGAGAACGCTGTCACGAAGTCGATCTTGAACACCTTGTTGCACATGATCATCAACAAAATGAAAGAATGAATACTTCTACTGCCCCTGCTCCTGCTCCTGCTCCTTCTCCTGCCCCTGCTCCTGCTCCTGCTCCTGCTCCTGCTCCTGCTCCTGCTCCTGCCCCTGCCCCTGCCCCTGCTGCTGCGCCTGAGCCTTCCCCTACCCTTGCCCTGCCCCTGCGCCTGCCCCTCCTGCTCATCCTGCCTCCACTTCGGTTTCCACCACCTTGTCGACAACTGATGTACTGCACGAGATTGTGGTGCACTAGAATCGTTATCGTCATCTCTGCCTCTAGTAAACAAGCCTTAATCCTGTTTCCGTCTCAACTATCGCTTCCTGCCACATTCCTTCTCCTCCTCCTCCTCCCCTCCCCTCTCCTCCCCTCTCCTCCCCTCCCATCCCCTCCGCTCTGCTCTGAATTGCTCACCTCTTCTGTCTTCCCTCTCCTTTGCTCCCCTCTTTGCTCCCCTCATTTCATCTTTCTTCACCTCCCCTCTCCTCTCCTCTA